ATTTAATAGTCTTAAGACAACAATAAAAGCATTGTTAGTATAAGTGTTCATAGGATAAAGGTACGTAGTCGTAAAGTGATAACATGTGATATAGGAAGGATGCGATGGTCAACTTTGGGCTCACCTGGTTAGATGTGGGGGGAAAAGGGAATAGCATTAAGAGAGGATATAGGCATAGACAAGGACAACTTCATAGTTTTGTTTTTGGTTGTTTGTTTTCCTCAGAAGTGTTTTCTTTTGTTGCCCAGGTGGAGGCAGATGGGTGCGTCTTGAGCCATCCACGAATTCTGCCGTCTGCGCGGGTGGTCTGAGCAATGTGCTCCTCGCCTCAGCTCCGCGAGTGGCTGGATTACAGATTGCCCACACCACCCAGTAATGTTGTGGTTTTTGGAGGGAGGTTGTCGTTCATGGTTGGTCGGCTGGTCTCGGAAATCCGCGTCAGGTGATCTGTGCCTCGAGCCTGCGCGCAATACGGGATTACCAGAGCGTGAGCCACTCGGCGCTCCGCGGGCCGGACCTTTCGTTTTAATTGGTTTGTGTTTAATGGGTGATGGGTCACATGGATATTCATTATATGTGATGGCACCAACATTCTATATTGCGTTATGTTAGTTCTCATTTCACTAGGGAACAGAAATCTTAGGCGATGAAAAGGTGTTTGGAAAACACTGCATCAGCAAAAGGATTCAGGCACTCAGAGAACCAGGCTTCAAGCCTCAATTCTATCTCTGACTACTTGCTGTAAGTTGTGAGGCAATCGAAATATTAACATTAATCGGGCTTTATTTATTTCATCGGTGAAAATTTCACAAACAGCAGGTGCGGGCTCAACACTGTAAACCAGCCTTTTGGGGAGGCAAGGCGGTGGAATCACCTGAGTCAGAGTTCAGACCAGACTGGCCAACGTGGGAAACGCTTCGTGTCTACTGAGAAATACAAAAATTAGCGCAGGTGTGCCGGCGGGTGTGCCGTATATACCGGCTACTGAGGGAGGTAAGGCAGGAAATCCTTTGGACCTAGGAGCAGACGTTGCAGAGAGCCGGAGATCACGCCATTGCTACTAATCCAGCCGTGGCGCACAAGAGAAACTCGTCTCAAAAAAAAAAAAAAAAAAAGCCACAAACTCACTTTCTCTCTCCAACTCGACAGGCAAATGGGGCAATGTATGTGAGAAATTTTAAACAGTAGGAAGGGTAGGAGTAATTTTCAGATTTAAGAGCAAAACTTTGGATAAATTAGAAGTAAAATCTACCAGTAAATAAATCAACCAATAAAATATACTCTATTTTCTTGTCATCACTGCTTCTAAAGATCTTAACACCAATCTTAATATGGAAGAAATTTTAATTCTTAAATAATGGCATAGGGACAGTCATTCTCCCTATCTTTATGCTGACTGTTCATCAAAGGACTGAAATTCACAATATCAAAACAAAGTAAGAGCACTGCATTAAAAAGTATTCTGATTTAACATATATCAACGGTCACATAACCAGAGTAACTGTTGCCTATATGGTTCTCACTGCCCTTTTTTATAAAGTGAGCAGGTGGCACATTTTATTAGCCCTATATTACAGATGGAGAAAACTGACTCAGATGTGGGATAGCATGCCCGGAGTTGTAGACCAATTCAGTGAAACTTGGAACAGACACTAATTGCTTAATTCTTCTGTGTTCATTAAGCTACTAAAAACATTATTTTTTCATGATGTTTTTTGGTGATTTGGTTTGTCCCAGGAAACAGAAAATTCTTTGTCAGCAGTCATTTCATAAACATTTCAAAATGGGCAAAGATACTCAAGGAAACAAGCTACTCATCAACTAGAGTACTGCACACTAAGGGACAAAATTAAAACTGCCTAGCCTGCTAAAAATCTAATCCTGTCCTTGCCAATTAACCTTATTAATATAGAGTAGGAGAAAAGAGAGGTCAAAATATAGGTGAAGGTGCCATTCATTTCCTTCTGGATTTCAAATGATATGACAATTACTGCACAACAGAGATTTTTACCTCTGCTGTTCCTTAAGTAACACGACCCCTATTCTCCACATAAAAACTTTCCAACAAGTTGGGCAGTCTCAAATTAGAATACTAGCAATCATGAGAATTTTCAAAATTCTGGCTATCATTAGATGTCACCCAACTGAAATTCATGCTATAAACATATGTAGGGAAACTATGGGAAAAAGTTCATTTTAATGTAAATTTCCCTGTTAATCTAAAGAGATTAACGTTATTACAACAACATGTATCTGACTTTCTACTCCGACTCATGAGGCATTATAGTTTCATATGTTGGCACAAGATCTACAAAGATTTATTAGAGGCATAAAAAAATTCCAATGAATCATCTGTGGATCAAGCACCATATATCACAAAAAGTATTAAGCAAGAACACATTCCATAAACAGCGAAATTTAAAGGTCACCCTCTCTGTATTCCGTTATTCATCCTTTTGCTTACCAAATCTACCTCACCCTGAATTAAAGCGTCATTTACAGAAAATTCTCTTCTGGCATTGGCAGAAATCTCACCAAGGATCAAAGATCTGAACTTTTTTTTTTTTTAAACAAAAACCCCAGGTTAAATACACTCTTTCCTTTACGAAAGACCCCACACAGTACAACCTAACACAGTACAATATAACTTTGTTTCGGGGTTAAAAAAAAAATCCCAAACAAAACCTTTAAATTTTCCAATTCAAAAATGATTCCTGATAAGCCTACCTTAGAGTTCGAAAACAGGTAAGATTAAAGTTCAACCATCTAAAGAACAAGAACCCTACGACAGCCCCACCGGAATACACAAATCGCCAAGCCCCGTGCAGATTCAATCTAAAATCGCGCCTGACAGAGCTATGAGGACATTCAGGAGAAAGCTTTTAGGCACCCGCGAATCTCTCAGTGCGCCAGGGAGGGGAATGGGAACCTGACCCCATCTTTTCATCTACTGAGAGAAAAGCAAAGGAAATGAAATGGAACCCTTCTCTTCTGCGAGGAGGACCAAAGACCTTCTTAGAGCGTCGGTCGGTCCTCCCTCCCCCGCTCCCTGACTCCGGCCGCTCCACGGACCGCAGGGACTGTCCTACCGCTCCCCTTCACGCAACCACCAGAGAATCTTCTCAAAATCACAGACCCGATCAGGAGTGGCTTCCCCGCCTTTCCCCTGCGCTGAGAGGGATCCCGGTCGCCAACAACAAAGACGTTTCCCGCTCCCCTCCCCCCGCCGGCCCGGGCTCGTCCCTCCCGCGCTGCGGCTCCCGGCCTAGCGCCCCCTCCCCGAGCCGGGCTGCGGCGTCCCCAAGCCCCGAGGCCGCACGCACCTGCACCTGAGCGGCCCGGGCCGAAGCGCCGGGCAGAAGTGGTAGGGAGAGAACCGCAGCCGACGCGCTGTGCTGCACAAAGCGAGATCCCCGCTCCGGGCGCCGTCGGACTCTCTCCGCCTGCAGACGGGCCAGGCAGACGAGCGGGGACCAGGGCTGCAGCCCCCGGCGCCGGGACGAAGAAGGACGGTGGCGCCCGAGGGGCCCCGCTCGCGCTCCCGAGTCTCGCCTCGCGCCGGCCCTGCTCCTCCACAAGAGCTCGCGTTCTGCTGACTAACGGCCCCGGTGCGGGGCGCTGGAGCGGCCGCAGCTGCCGTCGGCTGCTCTCGGGCCTCACGTCCCGCGCGGCCGTGGTCGCAGCCGCCGCCGCCGCCGCCGCCACCGCCTCCCTTTCTGGCACCGCAGACACCACCCAGACCCGGCCAGGTCTTCCTTCTCTTTAATACTGCTTTCTTTGCTCCTCCTCAGCCTGCCAGGCGCGGGGCTCGCTCCGGTAGTGGGAGGGAGACTGGAGGGGAACCGAGGGAACGAGCACAATCCTCACTGAGCCAGGAGTTGTCCACTGACTGGAGGAAGGTGCCAAAGCTGACCCCGGCTCCAGCCTGCGAGCGGGCGGGGGGAGAGACGGAGCCCAGCCTCGCCTTATTTCCACCAATCACAGGCCGCCCAGCAGGGTCGGAGATGCTCTGGGCTCCAGGAGAGGCTGAGCTCGCTCGGCAGGAGGCGGGGATTGCGGAAAAGAAGAACCAATAGGAGCAAAGGTTCCCCGCCCCTTTGCCTTGATGGACTACCACATTCGGGCCAATGGGAGAATTCTCATTTCGAAGAAAGCGGGACTTGAGAAAGAAGCTGCGCGGAGCAGGAGGGGTCGGGGCTGCGCCGCGTGGAGTGGCCTGGCCTAACAGCAGGGAGGGCAGAGCTATGCTCTTTGACCTCCTAGAAGAGTCACGTGGGCTGACCCGGAGCCGGGGCGGAAAGGGTGCATTAGTTTCTTCCGGGTCATTGACAGAAGCGTCAATTCCTGGGAGTAGTTTGTTGGTTTTCCCTTCATGCTTTTGCCTGCTCCCGGCGAGGGGTGGCTTTGATTTCGGAGATGAGCTCCCAGAAAGGCAACGTGGCTCGTTCCAGACCTCAGAAGCACCAGAATACGTTTAGCTTCAAAAATGACAAGTTCGATAAGAGTGTGCAGACCAAGGTAGGAACCTGCCTGTTGCACCGTCTCTGACTCCAGGAAGGAATGGTTCACTGGAGAGGGGAGAGAGGAAATGAGAGGAGTCGACTGGGGCGAGTGTGGACCGCAGCCCAGAGTTAGTCTTGGCTGCAGCGCAACTCTTTCTAAAATGTTATTCTCACGCCCTTTCTTTGACCTGGACATGTTGTCTCCTGGTAAATATTTGATGGCTAGCACACTTAACTAATTGCACAGAGTGAACAGGACCCTAATCAAATCTAAGGTGCAAATGGGGCAGTTACATCGTTCAACGTTTCCATCTGGATCACATTAGCAGAGGGAAACGAGGATTGTGGCATGAGTGTCTCTCTCAAACTTTACACCAAGTTTATTCAGCTACGATTTTTTTTTTCCCAAAAACCCCAAGCCCACAGGGGAAATGTGAATGATTAAGTGGTCTTAGGCTGTTCTCACTAGTATAGTGGGAAATTTCTGTTTTGTAACAATTGTTTTGAAGATAAAAATATTTGGTTAATGTAAAAATACTTGTTTTGCTGTTTATCTTTAGCAGGACTTCTGTAAACTGGAAAAAATTCAGACTAGATAGCCAGAGGACTTGGGTTGTATATAAGTACTAATGTGCAGGCTGGGCGCCGTGGCTTAAAGTGCTGTAATCCCAGCACTTTGGGAGACCGAGGCGGGTGGATCACCTGAGGTCAGGAGTTTGACACCAACCTGGCCAACATGGCAAAACCCCGTCTCTACTAAAAATACAAAAACTAGCTGGGCGTGGTGGCGGGCTCCTGTAATCTCAGCACTTTGGGAGGCCGAGGTGGTGGGCGGATCACCTGAGATCAGGAGTTCGAGAACAACCTGGCCAACATGGCGAAACCCCGAATCTACTAAAAATACAAAAATTTGCCGGGCGCCGGTAATCCCAGCTACTTGGGAGTCTGAGGCAGGAGAATCGCTTGAACCCTGGAGGCGGTGGTTGCAGTGAGCTGAGATCACATCACTGTACTCCTGGGCGACAGAGCGAGACTCCGTCTCAAAAAACAAAAACAACTACTAACTTGCTGTTTGCTGTGAATCTCTCCCTGTCTCCATAGCTGTATGGAGAGAAAATCATTGACGACAGGGGCATATTAGGGGCCAGCATCACTCAGGTAAACCTAATATTCACATAGGTTATGAAGCTCAAATTTACTAGATGTGTGGCTTGAGTGAGTTATATAATATTTAGTTTATCTGAGCCTTACTTTGGTCTCAAATGACAAAGTTATCAGGATTGTTGGGAGGCTAAACTATGTGATATGCATAAATGGCCTAGGTCATAGTAAATGTTCAATAAGTGATTAATTTCCCAACATTGATTGGGAAAGCAAAGTAATCTGTTTTTGGTAACCTGTGGTCTCCTTTCTTTTCCTTTCCTCATTCTTTCTTTGCTTATTCTACAAATATTTAATAAGCACCTTCCATGTGCAAGGCCCTGTGTTCATAGGTATACTATGTTCAAAAGAGCTGACTCTGCCTTCACGGAGCTTATAGTTTCTAAGTGATATGGGCAAAAAGTAAGCAGAAAGATAAATAAATACCAATTGTAAATGTTGGTGAAGGACAACACAGGTCAGTAAGGGAGAATAAGGAAGAATATTTTAAATTGAGTGCTCTCCTTTGCCCCACTTGGGTTGAGAGGTTTTTGAGAATGAAAACCTGAAGCAACATTTGGGAAGACTTTCCCAAGTTTGCTCCTATTATCAATAGGTACACCAGAATAAAAATAAAAAGCTGCACTATTCCAAACAGATGTCTGCCTCTTTTGTATTCTTACCGTAAGGTTGTGCACAAACATTTGCTTTTGATTGTTTTTCATGACTGTTTTCGTAAAAAGCAGTTTTAACTAAAGTGTAGCTATGCCTAGGCTTCTCCTACTTGTACTTTTCATTGTGCATTTTGTTGGTGTTATCTAATAACTATGCCATTCTCGTCCTAAATGTTTTCCTGGGTCTCAGGTTCAGTCACTAAGTTGCAATTGACCATTTTTATCTTTTTATCTTTAATTCCTTTCTCTCTTTTAAGTTATGGAAAAGTCTCATTTGTTAATCAGGAGGACCACCAGGCCACTTTGTTATTGAAGGTTCTGACAAAAACAACACAAAATATTTTACTGAGGAAAAATCATTAGGTTGATTGTTCATCTGTGTAATGAATAGCTAATAATTGTCTGTGATCATAACAGATTCTTGCATCTGCTGTGAGTAGCCATCTAAAGGCAAGACTTTGTCAGAAGCATCTGACCCCAACTTCGTGCCTATTCTTTACACTGCAAGGCTATTTGATTTGGTGACATCTAACAAAGGAGTGATAAAAAATGCCGGTTCTCTGTAACTCCCCATAAAGCAAGCTTGTCCAACCATGCTGCAGGGAGCATTTAAATGCAACCCAACACAAGTTCGTAAACTTTCTTAAAACATTACGAGTTTGTTATTTTTTGTTTGTTTGTTTGTTTTATAGCTGATCAGTTGTCATTAGTGTTAGTGTATTTTATGTGTGGCCCAAGACAGTTCTTCCAGTGTGGCCCAGAGAAGCCAAAAGATTGGACACCCCTACCTTAAAGGATTGTAGTAACAATTGACTGCTTGTATTAAACACTTTGTGATTTGGTAAGGGTCCTACATGATGGTTTTCCTTTTCCTTCTCTGCCAAGCAGTTTGTTAGGACTTCACTGCAATTGGAAGTTGGATAATTACAGATGTTGTATTGAAAGTTTATATAGGTAAAGCACTCATTCTCAAAAGGACACAAATGATAGCTTTCTTCATATACTTGAATATACTCTAGAAAAGGAGAGTATATTCAAGTTTTGTGCCATTCCAAACGGCCAAACTTGGACCAGGGTGTCAAAGTAACAAAAATAGGTTTCAGCTCAATATAAGGAATTGTCTAACAGTAAAGGGGCTTGCGCCAGGATTTGTAACCTCCTCTTCCCTGGGGTTATTTAAAAGGGTCCCTATGGCCATTGGTCAGCAGTACCCTCAAATGACTTACGGAGATTGGGAGGGTCAGCAGTGGGAATAGGTTTAAATCTTTTCTAGTCATTTACTACTAAGATGTTGAGCGGATCAAGGCAGCCTTCTTTCCCGTCCTGGAGAGGCAGCGATGTTCAACAAAAACAGCATTGGACTAAGAGAAAAGAGCCATTCCTTAGCCCCATTTCTGTCATTTGTTTTGCTTGGTGATGTCAGGCAATTTACCTATAGCTTTTAATCTATGATACTGGGTTAGTACTATCTCTTGTCTTACCTTTCTCTCAGGATTGCTACAGGGATCATTAGAAAAATAATAATTATTATTATTTTTATTTATTTATTTTGAAACATAGTCTCGCTCTCTCACCCAGGCTGGAGTGCAGTGGCGCGATCTCGGATCACTGCAACCTCCACCTCCCAGGTTCAAGTGATTCTCCTGCCTCAGCCTCCCGAGTAGCTGGGATTTCAGGGGTGCACCACCATGCCTGGCTAATTTTTGTATTTTTAGTAGAGACGGGGTTTCACTGTGTTGGCCAGGTTGGTCTCAAACTCCTGACCTCAAGCAATCCGCCAGCCTCGGCCTCCCAAAGTGCTGGGATTACAGGCGTGAGCCACTGTACCTGGCTACAAAAATAGTTTTAAGAAATAGGGATAAAAATATGAACTAAGAATAAAGCCTGTAGTAATTTATGTGGACCTGCAGTTGATCAAAGCCTTAAAAAATTGATTAGAAAAGAAATGCACACTTGTTGAAGAATACTGAAACAATAGAGAAGTATATAAGGTACTGTATAAAAGTGAAAATCTGTTCCCAGTTTTAGTCCTGTTCGGATGTAGTCACTGTTAACACTTTGATGTGTACATTTCTAGACATCTGTGTATGATGCAGTGTGTATGTAATAAAATACATGTTTTCCCTTCTTATTCAGTAAAGTAGATGTATCAGAACAGAAAGATTAAGCTCATTTTTAAAATGGCTATGTAATATTATACAGCACAAATGTGGATTAGCTTATTTAAGCACTTTCCTATTAATAAACATTTGAGTTGTTTTCGGTTTAGCACTATGCCAAAAAGCCTGCAGTGCAATTCTGGTATTCATGTCTTTATTCCACATCTGTTATCTAGTACCAAACATTGTGCTAGATATTGGAGGTATAGGGTTGAGCAAAATATAGAGTCACAGTCTTAATTGAAGCTTGTGATTTGGTGGGAGAAGTGACAGGCATTAATCAAAAGTAATCCTAAGATAGATGCAAAATGATCCCATTTTACATATTGGGAAATTAGGGCTTAGAGGTGAATGACATGCCCAGAGTTACGTAATTAGCACATGCCTCTTCATTGGTTGGATGGGGTCTGTGGGAGGACAATTCAAAGGGCAAGTAAATCAAAAGCCCTCCATGTGTATGTGTGATTTTAAAATATACATACTGTATTTTTGGGTGTAATAGAAGCAGTGTGACACCAAATTAGGGTCAGAACAGAAATGAGTGCTGTTTATTGCCACTGATCCTAAACATTGCCTGTTTGAAATGTTCTAGGGAGAGTCTCTCCTCTTAAGGTGTGGTCCCTGGAGTATCACATGCCAAAAATGTGGGCTGGTTGGGGTGGATCTCATCTCATCAGCCTGGGCTCTGTAGCAGAGGCTCCTTTTGCTGACTTACTGTGAAAGTAGATAGTAATTTAGTCCATTTTCTTGGCTCCTGATTTAGGCAGAAGGCTGTCAAGTTTAAGATTAGTTATGATTGCATTTATACAGCAGAACAGGATTCTGTGTTTACATACACCTTTATTCACAGTTGTCAAAAATGGGGAAAACCTCCAAATATCTATCGACAGAATATATATAAGCAGATTGTGGCAGATGCATGTAGTGGAATACTACTCTGCTATTTTAAAAAAAAAGAACCACTGATATAAGCAAAGCAGATGAATCTTGGAAACATTAATGTGGAGAGAAAGAAACCAGATACAAAAGAGCATATTATGTGA